AGACCTGACACTCCTTTAATCCGACCCAACTGTGGCATGTAGGTAATCATCATGCGATATCCAGTGACAGAGGGACGGAAGGATATGTAGATACTCTAAAATAACAGGGTCTCTCGCAACAAGGCTCAGACCTACAGTTTTGGTCTACCCTTGAAGGTATTCCCTTTGTTTTTCCCCTCTGTTATGAGGTCTTGGTTGTCATATGATTGTTCACAAGTACTTGTCCACTGCCTGTGTACTTGCATTTGTAACTTTTCAAACAATAAAAATTTACTTGTGAAACAAGAATAAAAAAAATAAAAAATGATACTGCCTGAATCTGTCCAGGGATGTTGAATTCCTATCGCCAGGGACATGCACTTCCGGGCACCGGGCAAGTAGTTTTGTTCTACATTTAGCCCTGCTGCGGGCAGGCAGCAGGGCTAAATGTAGAGGGGGAGCCATTTTGTAAAAATTATCTCGAGTGGCTGTGCAGTAGTGCAATCGCCTGCATTGGAGCGCGCGGTACAACAAAGCCCTGCGTTCCAGTGCGGTGCGATTGCAAATCATTGTTCATGCAGTTTTATTCTGAAATAAACTTTATGTTTGTAACACTCCATTTTGTATTTTATTTTAAATTACATGTTTTTTTTTTTTTTTAATCCGATTAAAAATCAAAAAAATTAATTGGCCAACTAATTGCTTATGAACATGATCGTTAGTTGCAGTCCTACTCAAAAAAGTTTGAGAGTTAAATACCACTTTAATCCCAAAGGGAGTTACCACCAGGCAGGCAGTGAAAATAGATAGGGCTAATTTATTAAAACTGGAGCAGACAGAATCTGGAGCAGTTGCTCATGGCAACCAATCAGCTTCTCTCTTCAGTTTGTTAGTTTAAGATTTGAAAATGAAAGAGAAGCCGATTGGTTGCAGTATAGAACTTCTCCAGATTTCATAAATTCCCCAAAAATATATTCAGGGGTGTGGAATTCGTATCGCCTGACGCCCGGGACATGTAGTTCCGGGCAAGTAGTTTTTTTCGCTGTTTTAGTGAGCTGTGCTAGAACTCCTGTGTTGGAGGTGACAGGGTCAATGAAGAGAACCTGTCACCTCCAAAAGCTATCACTGTGTGATAACACTACAGTTAAGTCTAAAAAAAGAATAGTTTTAAAAAATAAAGTAATAAATAGTTAAATGTAACTAAATAAAAATGTAAAAATAAAATAAATCAAAATAAAAAATGAAAACCAGTCCCGCTGCCCCATCTGCATGTGAATAAACTGCGATTGTGTGCTACCGCTCGGAACCTGCCTGGCACGACTGGGGTGCCATTAGAAAATAATGGCATTGCCAGCGTGATTGGCGGTGGTGTGCGATCTGTGACTGCCCGGTCATCGTGCATGAAACCGAGCGGATGGCTGGGTGGTGACGGAATCGCACACCACCGCCGATCGTGCTGTCAGTGCCATTATTTTCTAATAGCACCCCAGTCGTGCCAGGCAGATTGCGCGTTTTTCTCCAGCAATAACGCCCGGGCGATCCCACACGATCACGGTTGAAAACACTGCGCGGTGCATGTCGTGAAAATAGGTACATGTCCCTTTTTTAAGCGATTGCCACCCAGATGTAACCCCTTACATGCGGAGGCTACCGCACACGATCACACGTCCCGGGAATCCGCAGGTCTGCACCCACCCTAAAGGGTAAATTCACTTTCCCAAGTAATTTGGGGAAAAGGAATTAGCCGCACAAATCTCCCTCCCGCTATACTTACCTTTCGGCGAACGGTCCTTCCCCCTCCACCTGTACGGGTGTACTATCTGTACCTGTTCCAGGTATTCTGAATTTCGCTCGCAAATTGCAAGCACTCGTTGGTCAACGCGGTCACCTGACGGCACTGACCAATGAGAAGCGCTTCTAGGCACTGCTAAACAGGGTTTTGGTTAAAATTATTTTTTTTGGATCAGGACAAGTAGATTGTCATGAAGGACAAGTAGATTCGGCCCCCGCTTTAGTCCTTGGACAAGTAGTTTTTTCCAAAATTTCCACACCCATGTATATTATATACACACACACTTCCTGGGATACGGGACAAACCGTATTATTGAGGTCTTTCCCATTGTGTACAACTAAACCTTTGAGGAAATCCTCTTCGCCGTTTTTGGAAATTGAGTCAATGAAACATGTAAAATACTCTTACCTGGTCTAACCCCTCCCTAAAACTAAAAGGTTTTGGCTGGAGTTGGGCTTTATGTATTTAGAACTCTGGACAAAACTCACCTTCTCCCCATGTTCCCAGTCAGTATATGTGTATACAACAACAAGTGTCTGCCAGTGCCAGTTCACACCATATGCAGTTGTGATTAGGGCTGCAGCTAACTATTATTTTCATAATCAATTAGTTAGCCGATTATTAAGTTCGATTAATCGGTTAAAAAAAAAAAAGGCTCCAGTGACGGACTACTAGTTTCTATTGAGATTGTAGTCCATCACGTGAGCAAGCTTGGCGTGGTGGAAGTAAAAAAAAAAAAGTGTGATGTGCAATATTGTACATTATACTACCATGTCATCCTGTGTGTCCCCACCATGTCATCCTGTGTGCGCCCATCATGTCATCCTTTGTGCGCCCATCATGTCATCCTTTGTCCCCACCATGTCATCCTTTGTGCCCCCACCATGTCATCCTTTGTGCCCCCACCATGTCATCCTTTGTGCCCCCACCATGTCATCCTGTTATAGCTGGTGGTATTCTCCATTGCGCTGTATAATGATTATACAGCGCAATGCAGATTACCACTGACCAGTTATAGAGGAACTACAAATCCCAGCAATAATTATACAGCGCAATGGAGAACACCACCAGCTATAGAGGGGATTTGGTGATCCTCTATAGCTGCTAATGTTCTGCAGTGTGACGCTTAAAAAAAAAACAAAAAAAAAACACAGAAAACATTAAAAAGCTCCCGGCCGATCTCGACTTACCTTGAATGGCGGTGTTTTCGGCGGGCAGCGGCGTTGTTGGTTGTCGGCGGGCAGCAGCGAGTCGGGAAGCTCACCGGGAAGAGAGGGCCAGACGCATGTCCTCAGCGTGTGCGGTGGGTGTGGCGTAAGCGGCGTGGCGTGAGTGGCTTAACCGAGGTGGGCGTGGCGTGAGCAGGGTGCGGGAAATTTGAATTCTAGCCGACGAATCGACGATGGAAAACGCTGACAACGTTTTCCATAGTCGATTTTAATCAAATAATTTTTGCAGCTCTAGTTGTGATGCAATCATTTTATTTTGATTGCTGCAGTCAAAATATGTCACAATGCTTTCCTATGGCCTTTCTTGTGCCTAATTCACACCATTGCAGTCAGTTCAACTGCAGTCAGAAAAAGTACTGCATCAAAACGCTGTGCAAACGCACCAGAACTAATTGCAAACGCATTAAAAAAATTACTCAGATTTGAATGTCATCATCCAGGGACTTCCTGGTTGTAGTGTGGAGAGAAATAGCAGAGATGGAAGGTGTGGATGCTGAGGAATGTATCAGATTTGTGCGGGACTGTCCCCTGCTGTACGACAGCAAACATCCCCAATATAAAAACAATCGTCAGAAGATGACCAAGTGGAGGGAGATTTGTGAAAACCCTGATTTTGGTGCGATGAACAGGGTACAGAAACAGCAATGTGGCGAGTCCACTTTTGCTCAAACATATAAAGAAAGCATGACTGAGCTCCCAAACGAACAAAACAAGCGTAGGAAATGCTCTGGCAGGAAAAGGAAGTGACCTGCATTCCTAATTAGCATTTTCTAGTGCAGAACAAAAACGCATCAGAAACGCATCAAAACGGATCGTAGTGCAACTGTGCAGGCGCACGCAGTTGTGATGCAGTTTCTGGTGTCAACTAAGCCTGAATGTTGTTGTGCTAAACTAGTTTCTTTAAATTATAACTATGGGTATAAAATCTATGACCCCCCCATATTGTATTTCTAAAGCAAGAGCAGACAGGATTACCATGCCCACCTAATATCCATGCTTCTGGTTTTCCACCTACTACTCTTGTGAAATATTGCAACAATAATTAGCTTGTTTAGAGAGAGAAAAAGCTCCAAGACACAGATGGTAGGTGCAGAACCTTACCTGCTGTCTTTGTAAAAAAAGTAAGCTGCAGCTCGCACTTCCTCAATGACTGCCACCGATCATTTATTTGCAGGTAGACTGATAACTCTTTATGACCACACATACAGGTTGGCCCTCCCCCTTCCCTTCGTTACCCGATGGAGCCGCTTGGCCCAGTGAGTACACATCCCAACTCTCCCGGGAGAGAAACACTTTTTACCGGAAAGGTTTAATCTGCTCATATTGAGTGGGGCACGCGAGATTAATAACGTGCTGGATTAGTGTGATCCTAGTTCATTTTATTACTTCATTGCTGTGCTGTATGTGTATAGGCCAATGTAGTTGGATCTGTATGTGCGTTATAATTAATCGATTAAAAAGAAATTCGATTAAATCGAACAGGAAAATTTAAATCATTACCAGCCCTAGAATTTATCAATACTGGAGCAGGCAAAATCTGGAGCAGCTGTGCATAACAACCAATCAGCTTCTCTCTTTCATTTTCAAATCTTAACTGAACAGACTAAAAACAGAGAAGCTGATTGGTTTCCCTGGACAACTGCTCCAGATTTTGATGAATTCCCCTCAACATGTCTTACTAATACTTTACTGTTCTAATTGGTGTTTAGAGTAAAGTTTAAAAACCATATTCTGATACCCTTTGCACAACTTTCAATTCCACAGCAGACTTAAATACTCTAACAAACAGCTCTAGGTAGAGAATAAACTTAAAAACAATAAAAAAAATAAAATGGGGTCAAAAAGGGGTTACTTTGCTTATAACCAATGGAAACCCCATCTACTCCTAGAGATAAGCAGAGGCTATTTTAGTCATAGTAAGAACTATTTTCACACATAGATTTACCATTGCAGAGCACAGCAGTAGAACCTTTGACAGGAAAATCACTGATAAAAGTTACCTGTATGTGTTCGTATATGCTGAATGTAGTTATTCTTACGATCTGAAAAATAGGAGCATTGTGAGCATGTATAAACAATTCTTGGAAAGTGATTCCGGAGATGTTTCTTCCAGTGATATTCGCTGACAGTGGTGTATGTACATATGGTGCACTTGTAAACTCTTTCATTTTCAGCTGCTTTGTTGTGGTGCTTCAAGTGTGCCAAATAGTGATCAATTCGATTAGTGTTATAGCCACATCGATCACATCTGATAGGTCCTTTTGAAGTGTCCACCTCTTCTGATGAGCAAGATCCCGATTCCTTTGTATTTTTCTGTGTGTCATGATCAATAAATCTCTTTGCACTGTGGTCCTTAATATGATGAACAAACTCTTCCTCTGATTCAGCCTTATATTGGCACGGTCTACACTGAAAAGGCTTGCTTTTGGTGCTCTTGTTTTTCTCATCAGCCACTGGAGGAGTCTCCACATCTTTATCTGGTTCAGTTACCACAGGATCATCAGGAGTAGGGGTCAGATTGTCACATATGTTCTCTTCTTGCATTTGAGGACGTTCAACTTCCATTATCTCAAAGATGCCTGCCTCACTCCCCATGACCGATTCTTCCACTTCCATTCTTTCCCCTTCACTATCAGAAAAACTATTTTCATAGACAGTGGTCAGTTCTGCCATTTGCTTGTCCTCTTCCAAAGCATAATCACAGCAGCCATTATTAACTTCGCCAGTAAGAGCAACATTTGCTAGCATGATCAATCGAGGAGCCGCTACTTCTGCTTTAGAAAGATCATGTAAGCCATACATGTCCCCAATGCCAAAGCTGCTGCTGTTACAGAATAAGCTGCTGCTTCCAGCTTGGCTCACCATTTGAGTAGCCATAGTGAGAGCTATAAAAAAAAGACAGAAAAAAAAAAATCAAACAAAAGAAATACACAAATAATTTAGAAGCATGTGTATATGGTAGCATAAGTTACAGTTAATCAGCATTTCAGCATTTCCACCTTTGCAGTCAAATTGGGATAAAACCCACTTTATATCTGTGTTACATGTTCCCATTCCTATAGCACAAAAGAGGTTTAACCTTTGCATACGGAAAGGATTCTTTACAGTTAGAGCTGTGAAAATGTGGAATAGACTCCCCCAGGAGCTAGTTCTAACGAGCTCAGTTAACAGTTTTGAAAAAAGGTCTTGATGTATTCCTTAATGCAAAGAATATTACTGGATATCGAGTTCCTATAAGTATATTAAAAGGGACATTAAACCCTCAGATTTTTTAACATAAAACAATACTGTAATGTGTGCCTTACTGTAATCCATGGTTGTTTCCCTTCTCTTTGCTGCTCTTTCTTTTAAATCTGTATCTGTTCTCATGCTCTGCAGAACTTCTGTTTTGCAGCAGACTGCCTTGTCTCAGGAATGGATACACGGTGTCTGTGTATACGTTTGTATAGGCTTGAAACCTGAGCCAGCACTACAAGAAGAGGCCCTGAGCTGCAAAGGGAAGTTCTCCCCAAGCATGAGAAGACATGAGGATTTAAAAAGGAAGAGCAGCAAAGAGAAGGGACACAACCATGGATTACAGTAAGGCACACATTACAGTATTGGTTTATGTTAAAAAATCTGAGGGTTTAATGTCACTTTAACCCTTTCGCTGCCAAGGACGTACGGCATACGGAGCTACAAAAGTGCTTCTGGCTGGCCAGCTCAGTATGCCGTACGGACCTGGCATTTACAGTTCTACTATAGCTTTAGCGACCATGAGCTTATAGTAGAATTGTTCAGCAGACTGTCCCCTTCAAAATAATAGTAGAATTGTTCAGCAGACTGTCCCCTTCAAAATAATAGCTGTCATCAGCGGCTCACAAGACGCTAATGACTGCTATAATCAAAAATACCGGGCTCCATGGATCCCCGCTCTTGTTCCCCCGCTTTTAGGGTCTGTGTTTGCAATAAATATACGCCTGTATCATTTTATCACAACACCACAGTGAAAACTATTTTTTAACATAAGTTGCTTATTTACAGTTTTGCGTACCGTAATTTTTTTTACCTTTTCACAAAAAGGCGCAATTACAAATTTGCTAATATTTTTTATTTATTAACTCAATACAGTTTTATCTTTTAGATTTAGTCAGAAAATAATTGTTTTGTGCACGGATACTGATTTTGGCGTGTTTTAACAATTGAATTGTGTAATTTTACCGGTTAAATTTTAATGTTAGAAACATTTGCGCAATTATCGCAGGGCCTACAAATTTAGTATCACCATCTTTTTATTCTACCGGGCCTGCGCTTTCAGAAAATATATGGTTTGGGGGGTCTTTTACAAACGCTAGCAACGCAGCAGTTGAAAATCAATAGGAAAAAATTGCAAAAAAAGGCTTGGCCAGCTGATTTGAAAAATGTTCGAGGGCTTGGCAGCGAAAGTGTTAAGCATCAGAGATTGTTGATCCAGGGAATATCCGATTGCCTTATGGGATCAGGAAGGATTTTTCCCCCCCTGTGGAGCAAATTGAACCATGCTTTATAGGGGTTTTTATTTTGTAAAAGCACTAAATTAAAAGCATGTATATACATATCTGCACTCATTGGAAAGAATTCTAACCGTACATTCTTTTATTTTATTTCAAATCTTATCTGTTAGATAAACAAATAATAGGGCTAAAGTCAAGCAGTAAATTGAGGTTCTAGACAGGTGGTGGTTGATGCCTGAAGTACCTCCTAAACAACGGGGCAGCTGTGGTGAACTGTGGAGAATGCCTTAGCACACGTTTGTGGTTAGGGGCAGCGCTGCAAAGCTGCGTAAACCTTATCTACAATGTCTGGACCACAGATGCTTTGCTGGGAGAGTTGTTGGAAGACAGTCCTGGTGCAGGCATGGACTGTTTCTGTTGCAATATTTTTATTAAAGTTTTGTCAAAATGTTAACATTAGAGAACGGTTCTGACATTTCAGAGAGTACAGTAACATAAAAGGAGGATAAAAATTATACAGCAATTGATATATAGAAGCGTCTCACAAGGGGTACAATTGCTATCCAAAGCCATAAACCTAGGAGTGTTGGTCTATAATACTGCATAGCTAAATGGGCAGGGCTTGAAAAATGTTAGGGTGTCTCACCAGTCAGTCATAAATGTCACCAGGTCACCAGTCAGCATGACCGGACTATAGCCTTGCAATTTATAACATTTTTTGGGGACAGATAGCTTTTGGTGGTATATAAAATCACCACGGGGGGTTATTTTTTACTATATAATGAAAAAAGTACAGTAAAATTAAAAAAAAAAAAAACACAAAAGTTTTTACTGCTGATCAGTTTAGTTACCGCTCATCAGTTTAGTGTTATCAGTAATTAATGGCCCTAAAATTATTGCTCACACTCCAACATTCGCGGTTATATGTAACATGTGCGGCACAATAGGCGTAATTGTTGTTTTCGCACATAGGCGCACATCTGCATGTGTATGTGGGGGGCGGTTTTAATGCTTCTTTATTTTTTAATGATTCTTTAATTTTTATATTACTTTTTTTTTGTTTTTTTTACACAACTTTATTGCTATCGGGCACAGCGGATCTCGGGACCGACAGACTCGAGACGCTCGCTTGAATGTAAAGCTCCCAGCCGGCCGTGTAATTACAACGGCAGGCGGGGAAGCTGGTCGTCTGGGCCCACCCTGCTGTCGTTTGGCGTAATTGTTGTTTTCGCACATAGGCGCACATCTGCATGTGTATGTGGGGGGCGGTTTTAATGCTTCTTTATTTTTTAATGATTCTTTAATTTTTATATTACTTTTTTTTTGTTTTTTTTACACAACTTTATTGCTATCGGGCACAGCGGATCTCGGGACCGACAGACTCGAGACGCTCGCTTGAATGTAAAGCTCCCAGCCGGCCGTGTAATTACAACGGCAGGCGGGGAAGCTGCTCGTCGGGCTCCGCCGTCTTCTCGTCACAGACAAGTGGATATGTCAAGCCCTATAAATGGGTATTATTATCCAAGGGTGAACCAGAGATAAAACAGCACGGAGGGTCAAAAGGGGGTTAACTGCAGAGCACTAAAGAAAGAAAATAGGATAGAACAATCTCAACATCCTCATGATTGGTTGAATAAAAGGGTTACCACTACATTTAGCAACCAATCGGTTCTTATGTTGTGAAGGTCAGCTCACCACACTCCCATCGATCCCTGCCCGCCCATTCCTTTCAGTGCCCTTAGATACCCCAAACACTAGTCATATCCATATCAGGGTGGCGGTGAAGGATCCCAGGTTCCTAAGTACCCAGAAACTTGTCTTGTTTATCCTCCAAAATGCTAGACAGTCGTTCAACATGATATTGTCCAGTCTACGAGCAAACTCCATATACGAAATCTGTTGCTTTTTCCAGTTGCCCGCTAGGGTGAGTTTTGCTGCCAGAAAAATTAAGTGTGATAAAGCACGCTTTGAGCTATTCAACCCAGGGATGGGCAAATGGAAAAGAGCATGTTGGAGGTTCCTGGAAATATGTGTATGGAACAAGGTAGTAATCAACCTGTATATCTTGATCCAGAATCGGGTGGCAATTGGACATTGCCACCAGATAAGTACCATATTGCCAGGTTCCTGGCATCCCCGATAATCTCCCAAGGAGGCAGGATATAGGCGGGCTAGCCTAGCTGGCACCATATACCACCTCATGACCACTTTGTATGCCACCTCTGTTTGTAACATTAAGAGAGCATTTGGCCATATTTTTCCAGATCTGTCGCCAGGATTCCAGGGTCCACGATTGTTGCAGATTGGTAGGACTGATCAGTCTATTTAGTTGGGAATATAAGATTGAGGGCCCTGTCACACCATGTCCAGACCAGATCTGCACACGTTTCTGCAAAAGCGGTGCAGTGCGTTTGTGATGCGTTCCGGTGCGTTTTCTTTTGTTTTTTGGGGGGTAATGTCTTTATGCAAACTAATCACTTCCTGCTCCATGTCATAGCTTCTGTTGCGTTCCAGTGCAGTGCGTTTGTGACTGTTGCGTTCCAGTGCAGAAAAAATGTGACATGCAGCATTTTTTTTTCCTGCACTGGAACGGACTGGTGTGAACAGAGCCCAAAAAAAAAAAAATCACATATAAATGCATTGGGATGCATTTTTGGTGCGTAAGAAAAATGTAACGTACCACATCTGATCCGGACATGGTGTGAATGGGCCCTGACACCAGGTCCGGACCCCCAGGGGAATGCAGGCAGATATGTTCAAAACATGCGAGTAAGTTACTCGGGTCTCTTCTTTTTCAGTAAGGTGGAGTTGAAGGTATCTGAAATGTTCAGTCTCCGAGATCCGTTTATGTTCCCGCAGATATAGCCAGGAGGGTGTGGTAATGGATCGCACCAGGTCATATACTACATGAAATTCATTATTCATCCACCACTGAAAAGCGTTGGGGCTATCCATTCCTGGCTGAAACAGTGGCCGGGCAAACAAGGGAAGAAGTGGAAAGTACGGGGAGAGTAGATTAGCTGAGTATTTAATAGAGTCCCACAATTTAAGCGAATGTAACATAAGTGGGCTTAGGGTTTTAGGCCTCTTAGTAGTCGGAAGCCAAGGCAACACCGATAACGGCACAGGGGAGCAGTTCGGAATTTCCAACATAAGCCAAAGAGGGGGAGATTACTTTTGGTGTAGGGTTATTAAAGGCAAGAGTTGGGAGGCCTGATAGTACAACAGTATGTTAGGTAGACCCAAACCCCCATCTCTTTTATGTTTATATAAAGTAGTGCGAGCCACTCTAGCTTTGAGGGGGTGCCAGATGAACTGGAGGATACTCCTCTGAATGGAACGCAAAGCGAAGGAAGAGATGGCTACCTGTAGTGTTCTAAAATAATACAGAAGTTTGGGTAGTATAGACATCT